AACTAATACAATTTTATTCAAACTTTTATATTTTATATATATTCGTTTGGTTTCTATCGCCACTGTTGTCACCAAAACCTATATAATCATTGGCTATTTTGGATGTCTGTTGCGCTTTGAAAATTATTCGGTAGCACTTTTTAGTACAGCTCGGCAAGAATGTGGTAATAGGGGGTGAACAAGGAGAAACAAGCAGGTAACAGTGTAAAAATAGCAGGTTATTATAGATGTTGGATCCCTCTCAATGATCCAGTTAAGGGGATATTACTAGTATCCAAGTAAAGTCCAAGTAATTAAGGTATGATTAATGCTATTATCATTATATGGTAATAGTGTCCTAATATGTTAAAGCGTCAACCAGTACTCCAATATTATTATGAGACTACTACCAATATGACCTGTATATTTGAGTGGTGAGTAACACTAGATGTGTTTTTCACGTTAAAATGAAAAACACATTTAAAGTTTAAAACCTTTTTATAATCTTTATTAGGTTGTGGGGAACGGCCTCTTTTTGGTCCTCCAGGTGCTTCTCGGATCGTGGGTGGCCGGGAGGCTCCCAAGGGGGCGTGGCCATGGCAGGTCAGCATCCAGATCCAATACAGACACCTCTGTGGTGGCACTATCCTCAACAGCGTCTGGGTGCTCACTGCCACACACTGCTTCTACCATCACATGTGAGTCCCTTAAAAGTAACAGTTAGGGCACTTTGCACAAACAATTGGGGGGGTAAACGCTGACAGAGTCTGCTTCCATTTACGTATATGTTTTTTTTTACTCTTTTCTTTTGTGTCCAGACGGATCGGCCTAGGCTATTTTCGTGTGGTGGCTGGACTAAATACGCTATCTTCTCCAGGAAAATACGCCCAGGTCCGCTCCATCAGGGGAGTGAAAATGCACGATGGTTACAACATTATCACATCCGATAACGATGTGACGCTGTTGCTGCTCAGCTCGCCCTTTAAGTTCACCAACTACATCCAGCCTATTTGCCTTCCTGGTGATGTGATCCATGAGGCCATGCTCAACCTCAGCCACTGCTTCATCAGTGGATGGGGAAGCACCTATTACAAAGGTGGGAAAGGCCAGAGTTACTATTTTAAAATAAGAAAAATTAGTATTTAGTTTAGGGCAGGGGTGTCAAACATAAGGTCTGGGGGCAAAATTGGAGCCAATAAGGCCCATTTTACATTTTTGGAAAAAGTGAATGACGAATTTTTGGACTTTTAAACTTATTTTTATAACTTTTACAACTTTACATGCTGACAAAGACCAACAGCCACACCCATTTATACTATATCAAAGGAGCTAAGTAATAGATGACAAAAAAGTTTGTTTTCCATTTTCTACCATAGAAATTTTAGTTCAACAAAAGAACATTTTTGAAAATTAATAAAACCTGTTTGTCGTTTTTGTAAATAGGAAATAGGAGAGTCTGTACAGTGAGATAGCAGAACTTTTTCTTCAATTTTACACATTTATCAGGTAGAGAAACAGAGATTTACTACTGAAGATTTACTTTTTATCTTTTATTGACACATCTGAATGTGGGCTCTGCCAGCTCCTGGCAACACAAGTCAGATTAAAGGTTAAGAAAATGATGGAAATAGCTGAGTTTATTGATGTCAACCAAAGCATGCAAAAAGTGAAGGGGTTCTGAAGTATTTGCAGCTGTATTATCTGTATGTCCGGTTTTAGAAGTCATCAGTGCAGCAGACAAACTTCTC